TAATTATGGATGTGTAGTACACTTTAGCTAATAAACTCTCACAATATCTGAACCCTGCAAACTTAGATCCTACATATTCAGTGTTTGACTCATGAACATTTGTCAAGGGGTGGGAACTTTTCAGGCACTGGGAATTCTGAAAATTCACATCCAATCACAATTATAAGGGCAGGGTAAACATTATTAGGAGAGGAGTGCTCCTGGTAGCCCCACCCTATGCCCAGGAAGTAAAATTTGATCAATAAAAGCCAATCTTGGTAGTTTTACTCCTTTTGCACAACATGATTTAGCTACAGACATGTGTCACAACTTTGGCCAATGAGACTTAGGAGAAACTTGTTTTGGGGTTTCTGGAAGAGTTTCTCCCTCTTAGAAAGCAACATTAATTATGACATTCTCTCTGCCACTATTGTACAATGTGTGAAAATCTGTTTCTTGGAACAACTGCAGTTATTTTGGGACCATAAAGGGACAAGCCTGAAGACATGAGAAGGATGGCAAGATGAAGATGTGAAGAACCAAAAACCTTATCTCTGATTGGATGACTAAATTAAGTACCCTGTAACCACTCACTCTCACTCCAGAGTTCTTTTAAAGAGAATTTAAAATCTCCTTGCTGCCATTCTGAGTTTTGTCTTCTGTTTCATTTTACAGACAAATGCATCCCAAATGATACATCAATTTTCATTTTAGAAAGTTCACTGTGAAAGCAATGAAGCAGTTAGGTGGAAGGGGATTGGAAATGCTGGTCAGCATATCAGGAGGAGGTTGCCATAAGAATCAGTGAGTTGTAATGAAACAAGGTCTGTGGGAGGAGATTTAAAGTAAATAGGACTTAGAAACAACTTGGTTGTGTGTTATAGATTATGTTGAGGTTTTTGGATCGTGGTACCAGTCAATGAGACTGGGGACAGGGCAGGAGGAGGACACATGAAAATGCTTGGTGGAAATGATGACTAGGAGGTTCCAGATGAGGTGACCAAGTCTCGCTCACCAGACTGTGTAGTCTGTGTGATACGGACCTTGTCTCTCTTCTTTACTACCGATTTCCTCTTGCCAAATTGCAGATGACTATAGTAAGGAGCTTAATAATAAATGAATGAAGCTCAGAAAGGAAGAAATATATAATTTGTACACATAGCTAGAAATGGTGAAGCCAGAACATACACTCAGGCCTTTAATTCTCTCCAGCACACTGTCTATGACTCAACAACAAATTGGAAAAAAGTTTCATCCTGGATTCTGAAGCAAAGGGAGAAACTCTCATTGGCAGATGTGGAGTAAGTGTGGGCTCATTTCATTTTCTTAGGTTAATTAAGAAGGTACCTGACTTTTTTCATTAAGTATGTATTTTGTGGAAGACTTTCTTAAAACAAGATGTTCAAGAAGACGCATTCAGGGACATCTGAGAACTCTATACTATACCTTAGTGCCAATGTATAATGAACAGACTTCTTTATTCTAACCTGGAGATGGGGCAAAAAATTTAAGATTTATACTCTGTCCCTCATTTGCAGTGAATAGAGGCTAACTTAAAACCCCTCTAAGATCACTTTTAAGTTACTGTTGTACTGTTTTTTAAAGCCTCAGGGAATAACTGCTCAACATTTTGTACAGTGGAATCATTAATTTTCCTCTTCAAATATTAAAACATCTTTTTTGGCTTTTCTCAACATCCTTTATTTTTTCCACATATCTCATCCAAGGCCCCAAAAGTTTGTCAAGAAAATAATTATTTTCAGAGTTTTTGTTTCTTGTCTCAAGTTAGAATTACAAAAATTTAAATTTTTCCCCAAACTCAACAAAGGCTATCGAAGAGGCAAATTAGTAAATATTATGGACTTTAAACTCAGAAAACCAATCACTGACCATAGGAGGCTGGCAGCACATAAACTAATAATTCAAGAACAATGCCATAATGTGTGATTCCATAGTGCCAGATTATGGCATTAGGACTAGAAGTGGTCTGGAGATTAAGAAAATAGAGGAGTGCTGTGGGCCGACAAAGAATTCATAAACACAGTGAATGCGGTGTCCCTTAAAAATCATCTAGGAATTGGGGATTTGGAGGGAAGAGCAGGTGCATGGAAGGAGGTGGAAACTGGAGGAAGCTGGAGTATCCCGATTTAGAACATAGAGTTTAATGTGGAAAGCATATCCAAGATATTTTTAAAACCTGTGTTTTTCTCAAAGTAGTTATATTTATGTTGATCATTATCCTACTGAATAAGTGAAATCTGGATTTCATCTAGAGGGTGAAGGGCTTCTTCTCTGCTCTCCCCAAAATGATCTTTTCATAAATTGATCTCTGGCTTCTATAAATGGTAAAATCATGTTGGATTTTAATTTCATCTGTACTCTTTATTGGTATTTGGTATTCTGCCTACATGGGACATTAAACAATCTGGGGCCTAGGTGTCATAGGATCACCTCAGATTATAGAAATTTAATAGGTTTAGAACATGGTAGGAGCTCAATAAATGCTTGTTGAATCAACAGGAGAAGTGGAAGAAAAGGAAAAAGAAAAAAGATAGATGGAATTTGGAAATATTACTTTTCATTCACTTTTTGAAAATTAGGTAAGAAGTTATTTAAATCATAATTTAAATAGTATTTTCAATCTTATTTTTAGGTTTAAGTTATTTTCACTTGCCAGATTTTAAAGAAGAGAATATACAACTTGTATATTTTTGTTTTCTTTTTCAGATAAATTATGATTTTTTTTTTGTTTTTTCTAAAGTTCTTAAAATTTTGAATAGGTAACAAGAGTTAAAATATGAGCTGTTCTTTTGTTTTTTCTAGAAATAACCCACGTTTGAAATATCAAAAGCCAGTTTAATAGTCAGAGTGGGAAATCAGCAATATTTTTGTTTCATTCTTATAATACTCGAAAGGAAATTTTAAAAGAACTCCAGGAAATATTTATAGAAGTCTACATGAACCACTGAATATATATAAACCTTTCTGATCTACAGAGGCAGAGAGGGGAGTAGAGTAAAGAATGTGAAAAGAAATAAGTACTTATTCACAATAATGAACTCCTTTTTCCCAGAGGTAAATTATTTTGGAGCAAGAGCAAACTGGAATTCTTTGCATAAGCAAGAGCTTAGTAATATAAACATTTTAGATGCTGCCAGCGATTTGAAAGACCATCTCAGCATTCCAGACTGCCCTGGGTTGCTGCTACTGTGGGAAAAAGGCCACCAACTTTGACACTAAAAGGGCCCATTCTCAGGGGCACTCGGGCCCTTAGAGATGTGTAGCCTTGTGCAAGTCATTTATTGCCTGTGATTGTTTCTGCGTCTGAAAGGATAATCATACCTACTTCATAGGATGGTTGTGCAAATGAAAAGACAACATCTGTGAAAAGCTTAAGGAAGTACCTTACAAATAATGGGAGCTCAATAAATTATAAGTTATTAATTCCTAAGCAACCATGATGGACTCAGACTCTCCACTAAGTAGAATCAAATCTGACCTCACTGTGGCTGAGATGAGACGGGAAAGACCTCTGGACTGTAGTAGAAGACAATCAAATCGACCTGCTCTTTCTACAAAAGCCATCCTTACAGAACTTGCACATGTGAAGGAATAAATCTAGGGCCAACCTCCATAATCATAAATAAAAATTCAAGAAATACCAGGTCAGGGCAGATGGCTTTTTTGTCTCAATAGGGCTCCACTCTAATTCAACCTGATCTATCAGTCTCTCCTTCATAGCTGCAACTCAGAGGCGTACTTAGGGGTTCTCAAATTCTAATAATTTCTTATTGAAAAGTTTAAAGCTCAGGAATAATTTCAATTTCAGACAAATGATTCTGTACACCTCACAGGGCAAACTCTTTTCTCTATACTTCAATTGTGTTCGTCAATGACATTTCTGTAAAGTGTCTTGGATCCGTCTGGGATAACGCCATCGTAATGGAAATGTTGCCTTAAGAGAATGTTTTTTAAATTTTACTTTAAAAATCTTAAATACACACAGTATTCTATACTATTGGTGAAATCTACTTGGCAGGCAGAAAAAAGAAAAGCTTGTGTGGGGTGGACTGGGAGACACTGTTTTTATACCCATGAAATGGTTTGCAGCCACAGAAAGAGTCATAAAAACAGTAATGTCAAACTGTTCAAAAGCTGGGCTTCCTGTTTGTATAACACAAATACAGAACAATTTGTAGATGATACTTGTATACCTTTTTTTGATTATGGATATAATGTATTGAAGGAACAACCTCTGGTTCTAAGTACTTAATATCAACCTATTCCATTCTCATCCTTGGCATGGGAACCATGTACTTACATACAATAAAATCATGAAGCCATCCGTGTTCAACTTCTTTGAGGATGTTCTGCCCTCTATTCCTATTACCTCCCCAAGTTATTCCCATTTCATAATTGCATGCCTGTCCCCAAGGGCTTGGGGCTTCTCTTCAGGATATTCACATGCCAGATCACTAATCAGGGCAGGCCAGATTCTATCCAACCTCTTAACAGAAGTCTTTGCATTAAAGAAAAACACAATTAAAAAAAAAAAAAAGAAAAGTACAATTGACAGGAAGCACCCCACCCTAATGGCAAAATTTTAGATACCAGAGTATTTGAGTCAGCGACGGTTTCCTAGCACAGAACTAGAATTAGAGGATATTCGTAGTAATAATTGCCTTCTACTGTATTTCTCAAACTTTGGTTATGAAATCATCATACTATAATCATCAAATATCTCTTTAAAAACAAAACAAAATAACTGATTTTAGACGAATCCTAGGATCAGTAGATCAGAAGCTCTGCGAGTAAGATGAGAAGGCAGATGGATAAACAAATACAAGGTGAGTCCCATTATCCCAGTTTTGGAAATCATCAGGTAATTATGTCTTAGATAAATGCTTAGGGTTTCCATGCATTACTGGGCCATCAGACCATTGTGCCATGACATTGTCTACTGGGAAGATCTATCTCAGTGGCAGTATACTAGGAACATCTGTTTCATCTTTTGGTCTTACCAGGCACTCCAGCTTGGATCCAGAAGTTAATGTCTGTCCCCTCTGCATCCCTGAAGACCTGGGTGATGTTGAGGGGCTGCAGCAGGCTCATGACCTCCTCCATGATGGCCCTGGCCTTCTCACTGCCAGTAAATTGCAGCCCAGTGGGTAAGAAGGTGCCCTGGTCAGACTCCATCACCAGACTGTAGTTGGAAATATTTATCTAAACAAAAGAAAAAAATGTTTGGTTCATATCTGTTGCTTCGGCGCTTTTTCCTTGGGAACCATCAAACAATAATAACCAAATATTTTACCTCCTTACAAGTTGTTACACAAATACATACTGCTCTGCATGACTTAGGATCTGGTTTGTATATTACCTAATAGTTCTGAGATGCACAATTACTCATCCTGGGATTTGCCAAACTCAACAGATGACTTGGAAGGATTAGAAAAGTTCAATAAAGGGAACATTAATATTGCTCAATTATTTCTACTAGTACTAATATTCTTTCTATCAATTTTCTTAAGTGTCTACTGTGTACTAGTACAATTCCTCCTTTATGGCAAGGGTCTCCAGAGAGTTAGCCATACTCAAACAAAAGAAATTATGCTCTGTAGGCTTATTTCTGCACCTCTTTCCTCTAAAGAGATACCATATCTTATTTTAATTGTGAGTTCTGCTGTAGCTAAAAGGTATCAAACTGACAGGTTTGTCTTTGGTTTCTGATTCTGTTATTGTTCCATCCATCTAATCCCCAAGGAGGGCAGTAATAAAACAAGACATGAAACACTGTTTTCTCTGGTGTAAAACCATAGCACTCTAATCCAAGGCATCTCTGCCAGGCCATCAGGTTGTAAACTCCTTCCAAGTAAAGTCTGTTGAGAAAGCACACAGTGATTTCATGTAGCCAGCACTGTCACTGCAGGAGCTTAAAACATCACAGGCTCTAGACAGGTCGCACAGCTAAACTATTGCCCAGCTTTGACTTGCAAGTTTAAGACTTGTCAAACTGGCCAGGCCCTGTTTCCCAGAAGCCAACTCCTTCTCCAAGACTGATCAGCTACCACCTTTGTTGAGTTATTCCCAAGCTATCCTTGGACAGCACTGCTATTCATTCCTCATTACTCATCTGGTACAAATCGATAATAACATTGGTACAGTGCTTCCAGAGACCTTTCACATTTCCAATCTCCGTTGGTCTTCTTTGACAGCCCATAAAACAGACAAAGCAGCTTTACTGTTGATGCATTTTTATAGGAAAGGAACTGAGGATCAGAAAAGTCAAGTGATTTGCTCAAAGCCATACAGCTGGTAAATGGTAGTGCCAGCTATGAAATCCTGTGTTCCAAAACAACACACTGCCATTGCTAGCATGGGACTGGAGTGATAAATAATACTTGTTCTGCATTAAAATGATTTTTCACTTACATAACAATTTGAGGGTTGGATAAGTAATTTTTCCTAAAGCAGATTCTATTTTATAGTGATTCCCTAACATTCAAAGGCAAGGGCAGCTGTGGGCTCTCAGAGAGGATCCTGCCACATTTATAGGACTGCACTTAAGGTCCAGGGACACCAGAGTTTTTGTTGGCATTGTTAATGATGAAAAGGGTAACAAGCAGAAGCCTGCTCATATTTCCACCCTCATTTCTAAGGAATTTCTGTGAAAGACCCAAGGCATTATTAATAAAAGGGCCAACTCAGCTTCAGCTGTGGGTTCTGCATTATGGTAGCATCATTAGAGTTAACAGTATGCAAAAGACTTGCATTCATGTCCTATATTCAGAGTTCGTTTAACTACATGCTGCTGCTAGGTCAGCAGGTGGATGTGCACTTTGGCAGTCTTTGTTCTCTTCCCTTGTAGGCCTTGTTATATACCCCACTCCAAACTCTGCCTCCCTTGCAAAAAAGGAGAAAGGAAAAGTCACAATATACCTTGTAAATGAAAATAAAATTGGGCAATCTTAAATGTGAGGATTCTCATACTGCAGGCAGATCCCATGTTTCCAACAAGAAAGTCAGGCAAAGTGCTCCTAATTATGTACTATTTAGGTTAAAAGTGGGCCCAGTTAGTAGTTTAGCTGTCAAACCCAACACTAATGAGCAGCTTGGTGAGGTGGACACAGCCTCAGACCCAGTCTGTTCTATTCCTGACACAGCAACTGACACTCTGGGCTACAAAAGGGGGTGGGGACTGGCCTCTCCTGTCTACCCAAGTCATGTCACCTTGGTCCTTAGCTTCTTCAACTGCAAGCTGGGACAAATGCTCTCTCCTAAGCTTGAATAATGAACCTGTACATCGGGATCTTCTACAAATGTTAACGAAAAGGGCTTTGTAGACCAAAGTCAAAATGGTTGCATGAATTGAACTTACTAGGGATTCTAACAACATGTTTATTCAGTGCTCCCTGGCCTTCTTTAACTGCAAATGAATAAATGTCCTAGGAACACAGAATATCACATTTTCAGCAGGCCACTGTACACTATCACAGGATGTTGATAGGAGCGAGGAGGGAATATAAATGCAGGAGCTTTCAAAGGTGCTTCAGGCCACATATATGGTAACATTTTAGGAGAGGAAGAAAGAGCATGGACTTTGGAATAGCCCACACTGGTCCAGATCCTCATGTTAACCACTATTTAGCTGTATGACTTTGGGCACTCTGTAAAATCTCTCAGTTTCTTCCTCCATGACACGGGATGAGAAGGGTGCTGGAGTTGTGAGAAACTGCATTGTAAGGCAGGTCGTATTTTTGTGGTGCTTCCTACGAGGCAGACACTGCCTTGGCTCATCCCATGAACTATTAAGATAAATCCAATTGTATCCATTTCACACAGTGGCCACTGAAGTTTAGTTAGGTTATCAAACTTTCCCTAGAGTACCTACCTAGCAAGCGGTGTAGCCAAAACTCACACCCAGAGATCTGCCTCTCCTGGCCTGTGTTCTCCACCCTCCACTACCCTGTCTCCTGAGGCTCACTTCCAACCTTCCAACCACAAGTCAGAAACACTGAGACTCCAGTTAAACAAACATACCAATTTTAAAAGGATTTTTCATGATCATAATAGAAGTCTACTTGTATATAATAATTTCACAATGAGAGGAGTGAAAAACAAAACAAAACAAAACAAAATTCTTGCTCCAGAGTTTCCTTCCAACTACGAATAAAAACTTAAAATAATAAAACATCTTTTCAAGCCAAATAAGACCAGATGTGTAGATAACAGTATCCCAGAATTCTGCAGTAGGGAGAGATACGTTTGATTTCCATTCATGTACGACTGTATTAGCTGCCACTGACATGATGGCAGTTCTATTGTTTTCTATTTATATCTAACCATCTCCATATGTTTTCAAAAAATGGTAAGAAAACAAACCACCCACCATCCATGACACTGCCTTTTCTCCTCATTCATGGAGTCATTATCTAATCATTAGCACATGGTGAAGGAGTTGGGAAAACAAAATGTCTCTGCACAAAGAAACTGGAATGCGAGCTGGGTCACTGAGCTGTTAGAACTGCAGCTTCTCAGGAATGTGTCATCACAAACACCCAGATTCCCTAGTATGCCGCGAGCTGTTGGCAGTGTAGATGTGAAAATCCGATTATTGCTAGTGACAGGGAGGGGGACCATGCTCTACTCACCCCTTTGTAGCACATGTAACAAGATACTCATCCTCCTGTTTACAGGGTGTGCAAAGAAACACACTTCTAAAGACTGCATGCTTTATGGGTGAGATAACCAGCCCTTACTGAGACAAGCCAGGGCACATAGATGAAGGGGCCTAGTAGCTCAATGATAAGCTCAGATATTATCTATACCTCCCCTTTGTTTTCTCAATAAAGGAAATATGTCTCTATTGGGATCCACAGAAACTCAGTCATTACCATGTAATATACAGAATGCAATGTAGAAAGATGCTCCTGCATAATTTCCTAGGTTGGGATCACTGGATTAGTTAATACCTGCTCAGAGTTGAGGATTCATAACTTTGTCATGTACTATAATCACATCCCATGCTTCTCTTTTTTTTTTTAAGCATCAGACTACTCTGCCAAAAAATAATTTGGTAACTATTAGCATTCTTTGGGTGCAACACAAGATTAAAAAGAAGAAAACTGTTTAAAATACATATTGCATGTTTTAAAATTCTTACTTCCCAATATAAACACAAGGATGATGTTTCTGCTTTTTGCTCTTTATATAATTCCAGGCAATTTCAGAAATACAGGCTCAAGTTCAGCAACATCCCCTCTCTCCCCTAAATTTGGCTGCTTCTTTGTTCAAAGGTTTTTTTAAAAAAAAATTCGTGTAATCTTGAAGAAATAACTGATGAGAAAACATGTTTCTCAATATGTCTTTGGTTTGGACCTAAATGACAATGAAATCCTAAAATCAAATGAAAAGGAAAAAGCTTCCTGATTATTTGAATTAATCATGTAGTCTCTTCAATTCAATCTTCAAAAAAAAAGAATAAAGTCCACATTGACATAGGGCATCAGCCTCAGTCCCCCTTTCTCACCCCACTAAATGTTAATATTTACAGATGATGGTGGTGATGCTGTTTGGTCGGGTGGTTGGCCCAAAGCCTGTTTTGAAAGGCAGATCATCTCAGTGTGTGTGCTGAGTAGCTGCGATCTGCTTTCCCAGCTGTGCCGATGGCCCTGGAATTGCCTTTGTGTTAGGGGTGAATGTAGCGGTTCTTCAAAAAGCAGCAGCTCAAACCATTGTCATAATCAGATAACAGGTAAAGAGGTTTCTCCTGCTATGCAGAGTCAAAGACAGGCTTTGGTTTCTGGTCAGGTATAGCCTGAAGCCCACACTTTCATTTTTTGACAATCTCCAGCATTCCGTTTTGAGCAGCCTTGAGTACCCAAGGGAGATCTAGGAGAAGAATGACAAGGAGGTGAAGCGCCCTAAGTTATTTTCATTTGACAGCTAAGCTGGCTGCAGCTTGGGGAAATGGGCAATACTGGGCAAGTTACATTACTACTGAAATTGCAGACACCTATTGTGGGTTAGCCACCATTTTGCCTGGAGATGGGGGACAGAATGAATAGCTCCTGGAGACCCCTTTCCAGCCCTCTCACTCAGTGAGTGTGCACAGAGGTATTCTGTTGTGACACAAGCCTGTGTTTTCAGGCAATTCCATTTTTACATTGTCATTTGAAGCACTCTGGATCTCAGTGAATTCTCCTCCTGTGCTAGTCAAGGTC